GGAGCCCGGGGCAGAGGAAGGGACAGGAGAGCCTGTGGCATAAGAGGAGCAAGGAGAGCCTGGATCAGAGGAGGGCAAAGCAGGGAGAGTCTGAAGCAAAAGAAGTGCAGGAAGAGCCTGGGGAATGAGGAAAGAGCAGGGAGAGCCTGGGGAATGAGGAAGTGCAGGGGAACCTGGGGTGAAGACTAGCAGGGGAGATTGGGGTATGCAAACGTACAGGGGAGCCTGGAAAGAGGAATGAGAAGCAGGAAAAGCCTGGGGCAGAGGAAGGAGGAGCAGGAAGAGCCTTGGACAGAGGAGGAGCAGGGAGAGCCAGGGGTAGGAAGCTCAGGGGAGCCTGGGGCAGAGGAAAGCACAAGAGAGCCTGTGGCATGGGAGGAGCAGGGAGAGCCTGGGGCAGAGGATGGAAGAGCAGGGAGAGACTGAAGCAAAATAAGTGCAGGGAGAGCCTGGGGTATGAGAGAGTGCATGGGAGCCTGGGGTATGAGGAAGTGCAGGGCAAACTGGGGCAGGGGAGCCTGGGGTATGCGGAAGTGCAGGGGAACCTGTAGCAGAGGAATGAGAAGCAAAGAGAGCATGGGACAGAGGACGGTGGAGCAGGGAGAACCTTCTGCAGAGGACGAGCAGGTAGAGCCCAGGGGTATGAGGGGCAGAGGAAAGAGGAGCAGTGAGAGCCTTGGGCAGGAAGAGCCAGGAGTATGAGGATGTGCAGGGGAACCTGAGGAAGGAAGAGCAGGGAGAGCATGGAGCAGAGGAAGTGACTGCAGAGCCTGTGGCATAGGAGGAGCAGGGAGAGCTTGAGGAAGTGCAGGGGAGCCTAGGGCACGGGAGGTCAGAGCAGAGGAAGAACAGTGAGAGCCAGGGACAGTGAAAAACTCTTTAAATAACAGCAACTATATTAATTACAAACATTTTGCTAATATGAGGGGTACAATTTATGGAAATTCACTGCCATGGGGTACACAAATATATTGTACATATATTACAAAATATACATAAAATAAAAATTCATAAAATAAAATAAATATATATATATATGTGTGTGTGTGTGTGTTTTAAGGCCGTTTGGCCTGTATTTGTGGGAGGGGCTTAAATTAATTCACTCCCCTATATAAGGGACACCCCTTACCTGACTCTTATCGCTTGAGGTCAGCATCCGAATTATTTCCACTTCCGGGTCATCCAGACGCCATTTTACCTGATTACTCCATGAGGTTTTCTAAGCTGAGCTGTGTCAGGAATTCAGCTACAGGCTTTTCCAGCCTTCCACATTCTTTCTTCAATCTGTCGCTGTGGATGGTGTCCAAGTGACTCACAAACCGTAAGTCGACCTACCCGTTACGCCAGGCATCAGTCTCACGGCACCATGCACGGGTCAGGTCCTCACTTTACGGCTGCATTTTGTCTAAATCTGTCCTAAAACCATTGCATGTTCATGCATATCATTCGTTTAAATTCACTTGTTTATATCTGTCACTGGCTCATTTCGAGCATTAGCATACTTCCAAACGGGAACACATTCTGTTTCAATTGCCTAAACATACTAAGCAATTCTGTGCGTGCATTTCGAATCTCACTGCTCGTTTCGTTTTGTTTCCCTGACATACCAGGCTCACGGTTCGTGCAATTTTCTACCAAACGGGAACTAGTTCATGCATTTACTATTGTACTACACACACGTTTCGTGCGTTTACAACCCACGAACAGAACTTTGGTTTGTTACAATGACTGTTATTAAGCTATTATGTTCACTTATTGTATATTGTCAAACGGGCACTGTTTGTTTCCCTGTCATACAACTATAATGCTGGGGAATAGCTCACGAACAATGTTTCACATAAACCACACTGACTCCTACAGGTCACTCTCAAAATCTCACGTTAACCTTGCATTTGGATTAACCCCTTAAGGACCAAACTCTGGAATAAAAGGGAATCATGATATGTCACACATGTCATGTATCCTTCAGGGGTTAAAGGGTATTTTACCATACAATCAGCATTTCTGACCCCTACTGGTCAACAGCAAAACTGTCTTCACATGTCATATACAATTACCAGCCAATATAAATTACACATAAGATTGTTTTAAACATAACCATAAACCATAAATTAAACTCCAACACGGGCTCAACTTCAGGTTTAATTCACAATAATTTACATTTCACATCAAGACTAACAGTGGTTCTATCAACACTGTCACCTACAGGTCTGTCAAGTACATTGACAATTTTCATGGGGTTTTACAAACACCAAAACACTGATCCCTATAGGTCAACAGACAAACAACATTTCACATACCAATCAGTATCAACTACACTGCCACCTATAGGGCACTCGGCAGATCTCCAGTGCACTTGCATTTTGCAACACCATGTTCACTGACCATTCAATAAGGCATACAACAATTCACATAGCAAGCAGTATATCAACATCTGTTATAAATACACATATTATTACACAGTAGCACACGCATCTGTATATACGTAACTGGTAATATGGTTCACATACATATGGCACTTAATGGGTTAAGATTGATACATATTTAACCAGTATGGATATGATGTTTAATATTTACATATCACGGCACTTTACTTTCACATATACTGTATGTTTTAAGATAAGCTTGGTCTATGCCATATTTCCTTATGCCATTCGATTTTATCCATTTAGGTTACAGTTACTACTAAAAAAACCTATACGGATTGTCAGGTTCAATACCATACTACCAGGTACATACACCTGCTCACGTAGTTATCCATCTCTTACCTTCCTTGGAATAGTAATAGTGTACTGGCAATTAGGGTTCTAGGGCCCAATAGGTATTACCCCCTTTTTTTTCCTCTGCTTTACGCTTTGGTTAGTGGTCCCACGAGGCCAACAACCCGCCTCACACTCGGAGGCATACACCCCTCGGGCCACTCGTGAGCTAGCCGCCTCGCATTGTATCATAGAGAGGGCCTCACCTGCCACTCCCCTTCCTATTTTCTGGTTACTGTCACCGAGAGGCCAACATCCTGCCACAACGTTCGGTGGCCACAAAATCCCCTCGCGCCAAGCATAGATAGACTCTCAAGCCACTTGGCATATATATAATTTTTTCTGAGTGTTTTAAAACACTTAAACTTGATATCATCAGTGAAAATGCAGTTTTGTGTGAAAAATTCAAAACAAAAAAATGAAAACTAACTTTGGCTAGCGTTTGTGACTAAGTGGCTACTACAAGAGACTGGACTTACCCAATTCTGAATACCCTGGGTTGTCTATGTGGGTTGTGAATGGTATGCCATGATGGGTGTAATTCTCATTCCTTGACTGCCATTTGGTCTCAAAGTTAAAATAGGCTCATCAAACCAATCTGGCAAACTGAAATGGGAAAGCCCTGTATTTGTCCCTGTAACTTTCCAAAACCCCATAAAACCTGTACATGGAGGGTACGGTTTTATCCGTGAGGAATCCCTGAACATAAATTTGAGTGTTCGAGCAGTAAAACCTATATTGACAAAATCATCAGTGAATGTGCAGGGTTTTGTTTTGTGAAAAATGCAAAGAAAGTAATTATGAATGCTAATTTTGGCCAGGGTTTGTAACTAAGTAGCTACTAAAAGACTGGACATATACCCTTTTGAATACCCGGGGTTGTCTACTTTGGCAAATGGTAAGCCATGATGAGGGTAATTCTCATTCCTGGGTTACCATACAGTCTCAAAGGCACCATAACCAATCTGGCAAATTTGAATGTGTAAAAAGTTAAATGGGCAAGCACTATATTTGAACTTGTAACTTTCCAAAACTCCATAAAACCTGTACATGAAGCATACTGTTTTACTCATGAGACATTGCTGAACACAAATGAGTGTTTTAGAGCAGTAAAATGACGATGATATCATCAATGAAAGTGCAGCATTTGTGTGAAAAATGCAAAAAACTAATATGAATGCTAACTTTAGCTAGTGTTTGTGATCAAGTGGCTACTATACAAGACTGGACATACCCCATTTTGAATACCCTTGGTAGTCTACTTTTGCAAATGTTAAGCCATCCTGGAGTTAATTTTCATTCCTGGACTTCCATACAGTCACAAAGGCAGCATGGGCCAAGCCAACCAACGTAGCATATTTCAATGTGTAAAAATTAAAAGGGGGAAAACCCTGTAACTCTCCAAAACACCATAAAACCTGTACATGGTGGGTACTTTTGTATTTGTGAGATATCGCTGAATACAAATGTGTAATTTATTGCAGTAAAACCTAACAGTATTATGATATTGACAGTTAAAATGCCATGTAGAACTTGAAAAATAACATTTCTTAATTTTGCAGTTTGTTACATTGTATTCACATTAAATGTTTCCTATATACATATTTGATATAAAATAAAAAGCCCTGTTTTTTCCTGAACAAAATGATATATAGTAAGCGTGGATGTACTCAATATGAAAGAGGTGAATTATGGTTGAATATATATTGCGCAAATTCCAGGTTTTGTTTTGATCACTACAATTGACTCCGTCTTTAAGGGGTTAATTTCCAAAACTCATACTTTAGTTATTTTACCCTATGTATCCTTCTTCATATTGTCTCCTGATCTCTCATATTTCCTATTGGCTGCAGCTAGGATCAATATTGTACAGGGATACACCTGCATTACTTCCTATGTAATCAGGTTTACAATCCTGAGATCACAGGAGTAATATGTGTATTCAGTCATATGGAATTGTACATTCTTCAGTGCCAGATGAAGGAACAACATAGTTGCATGTCGCTCAACAATAAAATTGTGTTAAATGAAATTATACCCCTCCAGCAGGCTGCAAGAAACGTGGAGAATTAAATTAATGCCAGTGACGCAGCTATGATGCTCTCGTTCTAATTTATGATCAGTAAGTGCCCCAAAAAATATGAAAATTTTAATGTTTTAGGCAATTGTAAAAAAAAAAAAAATACACACATTATGTAATTATAATGTGCATATGTAATTAATTCTAGGAGTCAAAGAGACTTTTTTGTTTTAGTATAAAAAAAAATTAAAACATATAGAACGCCATGAGTCTTTTAATATCTCTGCTTATCTCTCTTTTAGATGCCTCATCACATACCTCTTATTGATACAAATCTCGAATACAAGGAAGCAGAAATACTTACTGTAGTGTCAAATATAGATGACAAACCTTCTGCAGTTGTCAACAGAAATAATGGAATAAAGCTTTCTACTGTAAAAGAAGACCAAACTGAAAAGGATCTAATGTCTACACTTTGGGGGAAATCTTCGATTTAAGTATAGGAGGCAAATTAACTTCCCTGGGAGTGAAAGCAAAGTGAAAACTCGAGATTGTTCATGAATTTTAAATCTCATATACTAAATAAAAACAATCAATTTCTACTACCACGAGCATGAATGCCATTGACTAAAGAAACTAACATTTAAAAATACAGATTGCTGGTGTTAATTCATGATGTATAGTTAACATGACCATATTACAGTCTTACATTTATTTTCTATACTAGGATGTTGGAAGCAATAATAACAAAGTATTTAACCAGGAAAGGTACATTCAGATTATTCTGGTTTTCAAGTACGTCCTGGGGATGTTACCTTAGCCCAAGATCCATGGGTTGTTACTAACCTTAATGAGTGCAACTATATGATTTTCTTTTGATATTTATAGCAGAGACTTGTCATATAGTCTTGTGATGCCATCTATAACATAATATGTATGGGTGTTATTTCAATAATCTGAATCTATTCACACATTGGAGAGCATCAAAAGTCAGTTCTCAGTAGTCCAAATAGTGGGGTTTGCAGAGCTGTGAATGCTGGTACTGCCATCTATTCATTGTCCGAGAGTGTCAGCAGTGCTGCAGAAGATAGATGTTGGGCGTTGGCTGAGACTGTCAGCTGAGAACTCTCAACCAATTAATGAAATTATGTGTACAGACGATACACAGAAGTGACATTAGCCAGCCTGTAATGCATATTCCAGACTGGCTAATGATGCTGCTGGAGGTGGGTTTGTAACGGATCGCCTGGCACCCCGACTGGGTACCTCCGTTGAAGGATGCTCCTAGCGCTTCCTTAGGACTCCAAGCACTCTGGCAGACACCACAATCACCGAACCGGAGAAACAAATAAATTCTCCCAAGTATATGAATGCTGTAGACAGTTGAATAGGAAACCATACGAATAGGTTTACCCTCCTAGCAGTCAAACTGGAACAGCATACAATAAATCCTTCCCCCAATAATGAGACGACACTTCACTTTGAGGGTTAAACAGGAACTCCAGTGCTGGCACACCCATCCTGGTTTTTATTACAGTCTTTCACATACAGGACCACCCACAGGGAGGTATAAAACAACCAATCACATATCCGTTACATCCCACATATTCCCTCTCTTTCGCCAGCCGGAATTCTCGGTCCATCCTTGTGTTTCGCTCGGCTGTGAGCCTGGAATATATCCATGGGCACATTATCACCATACTGGGCCACTCGCTGCCTCACCTCGGCCAGCCAATCATCGCCGCATACTTGTCTGCTCCAAGTCGCTGGATACCTCTGCTCCCAGGGACGCTGCACGTGTGCTAGCGTTGCCCTCAATTTGTAACTCCACAAATGGTGTCTCTGAGCTGATTTACCTCGCACTAGGAGGCCATCCCACCGCTGCCACCAATGTAACGGATCACCTGGCACCCCGACTGGGTACCTCCATTGAAGGATGCTCCTAGCACTTCCTGAGGACGCCAAGCACTGCAGCAGACACCAAAACCGTAGGAGCATATGAATGCTCTCAAGCATATGAATGTTGTATACAGCTGAATAGGAAAAACCATACATCACATTCACATAAAATTACATATTCACAATCAATCCATTCAGGGGAACAACATATTAAAAAATGGCATGAATCCGACCAGGGGTTCAAAAGTTAGTAAAAGTATCTTTTGGGCCCTGGCTGGCACATGGATATCTGGCTCAAACAGGTTTTACAGAGCCCTCTATCCTGGAGACAATGGGGGAAAGTAATCCAATTATCCAGGGATAGAGGCAGACTCCATTGAGCACATGGTTGCAAAAAGACATAAAACACTTTAAAATACATAAAGTCACCTTTTACACATAACACACAGACATTTCACATATCCCCAGATAGCTGGGATCTGAGCGCACAAAACTACCGAAGAGCGCTCAGATCCTATTCACGCAGTTCAATTGCCATGGAGCCGAAGTCTTTAACTACACGAATGGGCTCCATGGCATAGCTATCTGGGTTAACACATTCACATAAAGTCTGGTCCATAGTCCAAAGGTAAGAGACGGGCAAGCAGCCCCCTCCAAGGACACGTGGCGAGGCCGGTTTCACCACAGGGTTCATACAGGCTATATGCACCATGAAACTGAAGTGGTCCTGATACTTCGAGTAATCACTAAAAGAAAACCTTCTGCAGTAAACTCCTCCATGACATAGGATCACATGACAATAAACCATCCACTGTCTTACAAGTCAACTGGTCTTAAAGTACAGACTTTAAAATGACCTATCAAAATACATGTAACATGAAATCCTAGCACGGACTAGTTTTGGCGCTGATTGTCACAGTGATAGGCAGCAGAGAGACGTACAAAGGACCCCCTCTCTCTAGAGCTGGGCTTCCCAAACTTTTATAGGCTGAGACCCACTTTTGAAAACGATAATTTTTTTGAGACTCACTTGCTTTTAATGCATATTTTTAAAATAAATAAACTTGCCACACTGTGGCAGCTTTAGAGGCATAAAATTGACTCACCATGGGAATCCGTTCTAGAGACACACAATTGGCACATCATGGAAATCAGCTTCAGCAGCATAAAATTGGCACACCATGGCAATCCGCTTTAGAGGCATAAAATTGGCACACCGTGGCAATAATTTTTAGATGCATAAAATTGCCACAATATGGCTATCTGCTTTAAAGCCATAGAATTGGCACACCATGGCAATCGGTTTTAGCTGTATAAAATTGGCACACCAAGGCAGCTTTAGATACTTACAATTGGCACACAATGACAATCAGCTTTAGAAGCATAAAATAGGCACATCATGGCAATCCACTTTAGAGGCATAAAGTTGTCACACCATTGCAATCAGCTTTAGAATCATTAACATCATGGCAATCAGTTTTAGATGCATACAATTGGCACATAATGGAACTCAGCTTTAGAGGCATACAATTGGCACACCATGGCAATAGACTTTAGATAGATACATTTGTCACACCATGGCAATTGGTTTTAGAGGCATAAAATTGGCACATCATGGTCAGTGGTGTATTCAGGTTTTGTGCAGGACCCCCCCTAATTTAAAGTTTTCCCACCTCTTCCTGTTAAGGCCGCACTTTGACTGACAGAAGCTCACTCACTGACAGACGCACACTCACTGATAGATGCATACACTCATTGACAGACACATACTCACTGATCTGACACACTCGGACACTGACAGACTCACACTCACTGACAGACGCACAATTTCACTAACAGACACATGCACTGACAGACGCAAGCACTCACTGACCAACATACACACATTCACTGGCCGACATACACACACACACATTTCCACCAACACTCACAAATTTGTATTATTTTTTTAATTTAAATCCACCCAGCCTCCCTGGGAGAGCTGGAGTGGATTACATACCTGTGGTCCAGTGTGGCTGTTAGGCGGGCAAGCATCAGTCGGACATGCTGAGTAGGCGGCAAGGGAGCTCTGATATTTCTGCTCAGCTCCTTTGTGCGCCACCGGAGTGACTCAGGTGAGCCTGCTCCCTCGCTGCCTGCCTAGGGAGGGCTCAAAAGTGGCCAGCTCTTGAGCCCCCAGGACACGAGGAAAACAAGGGATCTGCCTGGGCGTTTCGGGGTGGCTTTTTTTGCTGCCCCCTGCAAAGTGCCACCCAAGGCAAATGCCTTGTTTGCCTCACGGAAGATACATCACCGATCATGGCAATCAGTTTTAGATGCCTACACTTGGCCCATTATAGCAACCAGTATTAGATGCATAAACGTGGCATATCATGGCAGATTTAGAAGCATCATTTTGATATATCATGACAGTTTTAGAGGCAGAACGTTGGCATATCATGACAGTTTTAGAGGCATAATTTTGGCATGTCATGGCAGTTTAGAGGCATAGAGTGAGGGGAAAAAAGTATTTGATCACCTGCTGATTTTGAACGTTTGCCCACTGACAAAGAAATAATAAATCTATAATTTTAATGGTAGGTGTATTTTAACAGTGAGAGACAGAATAACAAAAACAAATCCAGAAAGACGCATGTCAAAAAAGTTATAAATTGATTTACCAACTATCACCCCGACCGGGTACCTCCGTCAATCGCGTCCTAGTACTTGTGAGTACCATAAGCACTGCACTGGAACACCAAAACCACCGTAAACCACACAAACCGCCACAGCTTGGTTGGGGTCTTGCCGTCTTCCACCCACCCTGGACCCAAGACCAGGATCCAACTTCCAGTGGGTAGACCTCTCCTAATCAAGAGAGCATAGCAGGAACAGCTCAGGGGAGTATTCTGATATAGCAATCCCCAGAGTGAATTTAGTTCTCCAATCTTCCAAACATGAGCCAAGACTTCATGAAGGGGTAAACTAATCTCAGTTGGGAGCCACACTTGGACCTTGTTGGGGACACCAATAAGAACAGTGATTAAATGCTAGACACTCCCATAACAAACATACAATCCCTCCTCCCTGCTTGGAAGATAATTGGATCAGTAACTGTACTAATTCTAATCCAATTATCTCCAAGCACAGAAAAAAACACTTTTTTAAAACACCCCAAAAGTACCCTAAAAATCCATAAATACTAAAAATCCATTGATAGCCATGATCTGGGTGACCAACATATCCAAAAATCTCACAGATCAGTTCAGGGGTTCAGAAATTTTATTGAAGTCATAGTTTTTACCGACCGCAGGCATGGTCCCATAGCCAAAAATAGTTCCATAGAACTGCTGGAGGACCGACTGGGAACCGCAAGGTTTTTATGTTGAAAATAGATGAAGGGCATTCGTGGCTAAGTCCCTCTGAAGTCTTTTCACAGTTTTGGTCCATGCAAACAAGATGGCTGCCACCTCGTGGTCATCCATAGGAATTGCGGCCAGCCAGACGAACACTTAGACCACAGAGGTGTAAATTGCAATCATTTATCCATTAAACTTAACAAGTTCCAGGGTGGTCTCCGGTTCGTGTGGCTGTTTGGTAAACTAACCATATGGTCCCAATTGCACGAACAGAGCCTGTTATAAGTCCAAGATGCACAATTGGTGTTTTCTAATAGATTTAACACAGGGGCCATAGTCACAGGGTAGGAGGCTGACAAACATGCCCCTCCAAAAGCTAGTGGTGAAGTTACTTTCGTCACAACTTTGTATTCCCACTTGGTAATACAAAGCGTTTATCTCCTTTCATATCTGTTTCCCCTCTAAGCCACCGTATCTCGTTGACTCCATATGACGTCATCGAGTAACGTATGTGCTCCAATCACAGCTATGGACGGGCCATTTAAACCTTCTCCACTGGAGAATCAGTCCCCCCTGAAGAGCCTTAGACCAGCGAAACGTACTTCGGGGCTCATTCTATTTTCCTGTCTCTATTTACCTACCCAGATATACCAAGCATTTTGCCCTCAAGTTTTTATCACTACGTTTGATAATTGGATTTTGGTAATAAGGGTCACTTATCGGACCTTCCGTTCTTCCCTAGAGGCAATCAGTTAGACTAATATTTGTCTTTAGATAGGTGCCCTTGAAGGCACAGACAGTCTTACCTCATTTTAAGTTCTCGATAGTTGATTTAGCTGTCAAAATACCCTGATCTAGCTGGCATCTTATGAGTTTAGACAATTAGGCACTGAGTTATTTAGTATTACGTGTCTAGACAGGTGCCCTCGAAGGCACAGACAGGTATTTTCGTTATACGTTCTCTTGCTGCTACCACCAGATTATCAGGCGGCAAATCAGTCAAATGAAAAGAAAAAAGGTAACTTGTGCACACAGAAGTAAATATTAGATTTACCTTACACTTATTTTTCAGGTAACCAAAATACAGGTATTTCTCAAAAACCTATATTTAAATAAATTAAAAAACACACATAATGTAAACTGTATATGTGAAATAGTGTTGGAAATAGAATATTTATTCAAACTCACAATTTTTAGAGCCTATTAAAAGTTGGCTCGAGACTTATGGTGCTTTTCATCTCATCCATGAGATATATGATGAAAGTGCAGCGGATATACCCACAAGAACTCGGTACTGATGAATTGCAGGAAAATCCAGAGTCCAGGGTAGATACTGTTTTGGATCAAAGAAAACTTTGATAATTTGTCTATCTACACCTTCCAAATTGATTGATTAATGCGTGCACGCTTTCCCTAGAAGTAATTCACACCGGAGACAAAGTTTATGATCAGTGAAAAACCAAGGAATGCTTTATTCCCCGGAGTGGGGGCTCCTTCTTAAAGCAAAAATACGTCACAGTTTAAACATACAGTATACATTCAACAATTGGTTAACAGTCTAACGGGTCTTGTCTAAACCCCCCCTACAGGATGTAGTGTCGTCATTACAGACTTCTCCCGCCTATATTCCAGCTCCTGGATACACGATGACAGGGGGAGTGAGTAGTTTCCTTCAGTTACTTTAACAGTGATTCTCCATTTTGTTACACGTGGCATATAGCTGTTAACTGGCACAAAGGAAGTGGGGGAGGAATTAGTAAAGGAAGCTGTTAACACAGGAATTTTGGTTACACAAGGTTTGCTTGATGGGAAGGGGGATGCTTAGCAGGATGAGGAATTTACAGAGGAAACAGCAACTGAACAGATTGTAGGGGGGGAAGGGAATATTTACTCTAGCAGCCAGTTTTAACATAGTGAACACAGAATAAATAGACATTAGTAAATAGCCATTTTATTCTAATTCATCTGTCCATAACAGTCCCCCGTTAAAATGGCAATTTTACTAAAAACTACTATCTCTCACTCTAATACTGTCCCTATAGAAAAATAACAAAAAGGCTATCTTGCACATCTGTCTGAACAGGCCTCGAACACTTCACTGCGCGGGTAACCCGTAGCAGCTTGTCCACTACTTCTTCCCGCGACAGACTTCTGCCCGTAGAGACAGACGCTATCCCTGAATGTCCTTAAGAGGAAGTAGCTGTTGATTTAGTGCGGTGGGACTGTAAGGGTGTATGTGATGTATCACGGTCTATGTCGTCAATCTCTTGGTGAAGGAAGGTCGGGGTGGTCTGGTCGATTGTCTGATCAACTGTCTTTTGTAGGCATTTCTTAAGACAGGGTAACACACAACAAACAAGAAGAGCGAGGATGATTATCGTTATTAAAATGGCAACACCTATTTGGGCCAGAGCACCTTGCCATCCAGTCATCCATCCAAACCATCTTTCCCATGGATCTGTGGCCCCAGAATTTTGTTTCAGTTCATTGGACAAACTCTTTAACTTTTCTATTGCCAACGTTACCTTACCATTAGGGCCTGTATTATCTGGAATATAGGTACAGCATGTCATGGTGTCTGGGAGTATTTTACATACTCCCCCTTTCTCTGCCATAATCATTTCCAAGCTTATTCTATTCTGGAAGGTCATCTGAGAGGTAGTTTGTAACCGCCCTATCCCACCATATAGCCCATAACAAGTATAGTTCCCTGGATATATAGTAAGGCCTTCATCTGGGTTAATATTTTTAGTAATGATTGGGTATTAAGTTTCCATGACTCGCATGCTGACCGCTTAGGTTTAAATACAGTGTAGATACTTAAAACGCATACTTCATATCCAGAGGAAGGTTCAGGAATACTGTACATGGGTGAGGCCTCCCTCCTCCGCAGACATAGCAGTTAGACTTGTTATGTTTAGTAGCATTGTATTTCATCCATTCAAGTCACAAGTTAGTGTCAGAGAAACCTGTCTCTACAGCCCTAGTATCCTCAAATATGGGATGACTACCATGTCTTTTAAAGTCCTAATGTGTGGTTTGAGGGGATTAACAGTCATGTGTGTGGCACCTACCCATTCAGCTGAGTCATACATGTCCTGTAAGAAAAAGGTCTCCTGTTTATTGTATAAACCTCTTCCCTTCCAATTCAGATTTTATTAGCCGTAATGCTTGGGAGAATAGATTCAAACTTAGTTTCTTACCTTAAAATCATTTGGTACCCCCCTTGATACCCCTATGGCATTAATATATATATATATATATATATATATATATATATATATATATATATATATATATATATATATATATGTGTGTGTGTGTGTGTGTGGATAAAACCACCCTTTATAGGGGTACTCCTTTTTGTCCTGAAGCATGAATGATGTGTGTCAAGAGTACCTTGGGGATTGTCATGTGTTATGTGTATGGACATAATAACCCTGGCTAGGGCACATTTACTTATTCTTAATCTTAGAAATCTTGTCTCATGCTACACTAGTACTGACAGATTCAGATCATTTAAACATTCAATATTAATATCACCACAAACTCAAGATAAGCAGATGATCCTGAAGAAGCTTTGACTGTGCGTATGGCACCTCAGACGTGAGGGCTGCAGGGTAAGGAGTATGTTTGTTTCTCTTTAGTTTCACGAGGTCCCCTTTTGGGGTATTCGGCTTTCCATCGATGGCAGGTGGTCAGGCATTATTATGGCCATCAAAACACCCACTTGTTGATATTTTTTTTTTTTTTTTTTTCAACAAGTATCTTTGTTCTCTAAGAATGGAGTTTCAAAAAGGGTTGTCAAGATCAACAAATGCTACTTCACATGATGCAGAGGCAGGCTTAATTCTGGAATGATGAATCCACGGGGTGATCGCTGTAACTTTCACGGTGCACTACTCAGCATGTGGTCTTGGTTATCACTTTGGTGGCTGGATAGGCCTCTGGCCATCCTGAAAACATGTCTGCTATAATTAGTGCATATTTGAATCAGCCACTCTTTGGCATTCTGGATGTAGTCGACTTGACTCCTCTGGAAGAGATAATGAGGTTTGGCTAGATGATTGGGGCTTTCCTCCATTCTTCCTGAGTTGCCCTTGGCACAAATGGCACAAGATTTACAGTAACTGTTGGTCAGAGAGGCAATTCATGGTACTTCAGAGTCTTTATTGATCAAAAGAGTTCATGAGGGTTCTGGACAGATGCTCCGTAGGCCCACTGGACCACTGCTGAGTATATGTTCTTGGGCAAGCAGAACTTGAGATTGTTGAAGTACAGCCTGTCTTTAAGGGTTGCCCCTTTCTGTTTCCAGCTTGTGGGTTTTTTTTTTTCCTTTCCAGGGTCAGTAGCTGCTTGTTATTCCTTCGGGAGCTTGATGTCTGTGGGTAGGATCTTACATGGTGAATATGGGAGTTTCTTCAGCAGACACTTTTCTGTCCACTTCCCTTAGTGCACTTACAACTTCTTGAACAACTTAGTCAGCCAGAGAGTTGCCACATGCTTCCTCTGAGTTCAGTCTTCCTTCAGAGATCTTGCATGCTGTGATGGGAGCCTATAGCTCAGCTTCTTGTGCAGACATTGTTGAGGTGAGATACTTGGTCCACTGTAGTGACAGCAAATCCGGAACAGATCATGAGGAAAAGGCTAAAAAAATAATAGTCAGTGTCTTATCATTTCCCCCCCTGGGAAGTGGCAGAAGAGTGGCCAGGTAAATAGAGTATCATCCCTGCAGGGTGACACTATCCTGCACAGAATTCGTCCATTACAAGGAGAGGTGGGATATTGCATGGAAAGTCTCAGGAAACCAGGGCACCATTCGACACCAGAGCCTTAACCTGTTAGGGAATAGTAAGAGCTTGGACAGGCTTTGGGGCCTGTATAATTCAGGTAAAGGTATTGGGGGAACTAGCTAAGACCCTGGCCTCTTGGTCAGGTTTCACTGTGTGGAACAAAATAATTAATAAGGTGATAGGGGCCTGCAAATGGGGGAAGGACATCTGCACCTAGCAGATTAATTGGACAGGTGAAGGTAACCACAAAGCAAGGCTTAGTTAACAGGCTACTCCAAGGAGAGCCATCTACACTTATGCAGTAGACAACAATGTTAGACAGGAATGAGGAGTCAGGCAGGCCTTGCTTGGTACACATAGATGTCATGTGGCCTGCTATACAAGGCTGCATATAGTTGTTGGGCATGGGCCTTACTATGTACTAAAACTTAAGTTAAAAGAAAATTTGGGACAACCTGAAGTGATACTTCTCCACAGATGCTAACTCATCGTTGATGACATTGTTAATACAGGTAGCCTGATCAGCCAATTTATCTTAGGCTTAAACAAGTCACACCATGTAGTGGAATGGGTCATTAGGATTCGGGCAATTCTACAGTAAAAGGGCATAGTAAGGATGGACGTGATGTTACTTTAGGAGTAGGCGTGGCTGTGGATAGTGGGAAATCAGCCTTATCCATTCCCATATATTATTCCTTTTGTCTTCAGTATATCCAAACCATGTGTATGTCCAGGCGTTGCAATATACAGTAATCCATTATCAGTCATGATATTAAAATCTCATTCTCATGAATTAAATCAAAGATTTTAAATCAACCTCAGAAGCAACAAAGAATAAATCTATTGTTTTTTCCTTCTGTAAAATGATTGGAGTTACTGTATAATAGCATACAACCAATATAACATACATAAAAACAATGAAAAAAAACTAACAAAAACAATAAAAAACAGTACAGACTAATAAGTTAGTAAACAAACAAACACATATCTCTATTCTTGTGCTGGTTTTAACTCTAGAATCAAATATCTGCAAGATCTTAAATAATTTGCACCAAACACAAATAACTTTAGTTATATTCTGCCGTTGAGGCAATTGGGGGTGGCTCAGGCATCTGTATTGCTCTTTCACACTGAGTTCTAAGGAGGAAAAGGAGGGGGGTCAAATCTGCACTTCTCTCTCTGCGTCTAACAAGTCAGTGTAACCCCTTCATGCCTGGATACCTCTTTACTTTATCTAAGAATAAAGCAACTTCCTTCAAAGTATTCAATTACAATTGCAGTTGAATCTAGATCTTGACATTTTTTCACAAATTCATTAATTAACTGATCCTCAGGAAAATTACTAACAAGTCTATATGCATTTGAGTCGGCAGCCATGTTTGAAATAGTCTATTCCTTTGTTCGTCATTTAGGCTATATTTGTCCAAATTTGACTCAAATATTTCAGCATTAGTAAATGCATCCACTGACATGTCATAAACTGGAATACATTTCACAATTTTCATTAATTGTTAATGGATTTTCAAATTAAGTTTTACAGCTCTGTTACTTTGTTACACTGGTCATTTAAATCTGATTTGTCTTCTGTTAACATATTCAAATTTATTTCTTTATCTGCTGATTCTAAATTTTCTTGACCTGCATCTCGTTTACAAATCAATGCATTGTAAGTACAGACTAGTTTCATAACATTTCTGATCTTTGTTTTTTTTTGTTTTTTTTCAACAGCTAATGGCCAGTTAATGGCCAGCAGCTGGAAGATTTCCCTTACATTCCTCATCCCCCCCTGTAGCCAATACTCATAGCAGTCAGAGCAAGAGAAAGCAACCAAGAAGGAGGGGAGGGGGGGGAGAAGACTTGCAAGCACAACGTTTATTAACCATGTGATTGCCTAAGCACAGCTCTCCTTAGGACAAAAGATAGAATAGGAGAGTGACGATACAGATTGTATAGATTACAATTAACATATATGGTACCCAACAAGACATTTACATGCAAAAGCACAATATACATGCCAAAGCACAATATACAGATGCAATTAAACCACAAAGTCCTAATAATCAACTCAGATCACACACACAGAAACACTCAAGCACATATACAACAACTTAACTCTTTGTTTGTTCGTTTTTTTTTTTTATTATTATTTCAACAAACAAATACGCCAGGATATCGTCTATCCTGATCTAAAATAATCCTCCAGGAAATTTACT